CCAAAGGTTTTTAAGGTGTGGACTTGCAGATGTTTTTGAGCATGTCAAAAATCTCTGTCTTCCTCTGAAGTCTTCCTACTGAGTTCTTTATTCATTTGTGATATCTATGCACATAAAAACCAGAATACACCCTCTCCCATGCAGAGATACATCCACCTGGAAGAGATTAAAACTGCCTTGAATGGTTGGCCCCAGCAGAGTACTCTGTATGAATATTTCCTAACTCAATTCAGGCAGAAATTACCACACATAGTTCAGACACCTTTGTTTTATTCAGCACAGGTGAATATCAAAGAGGCCATCCATTCAAAGCCAAGGGTAAATATAAGTTTAGGTTTTAAGCAATCAGAAAATTACTTTATAATCATCCTAAACTAAGACTACTTTAAGAAGTCTTTGTTCCTTTTACTCTACATATAAGAACTTTGTAAGGCAAGTATATTGAACTCTTCTCATCTGTATTGCTATAATTTCTATTAAATTAGTAATATACATTTCTCCAGTTGAAAGGAAGTCCTCACAAGCCTACAGCTACATGAAATGCACAACACTGTCAATATTTTAGTATATCTGATTTTTGCATTAGTCCTTTTCAAACCAGAGAATTTGGAAACAGGCAACATTTAGTAACTTTTAATTAGTATTCTCTTCCAGAAATTCTGTATCCAAATTAGTAATTTAATTAACCCATAAAAGTACAACACTGTATGCTACATATGCTACTTAAAATCATTCTGTGATTCTAAGATCAGGTATGCCACTGCCACCTTTATTAAAGAACTAGGTGGTAACACACTTTGCTAATGATTCTATTCAAGATTTCTTGAACTCAGAAGTTTTACAGCTGTGGCTGGTGTAAAACACAAAACCAGCATGAACAGTATACCATAAATTCTAACTAAGTCCAGAAAAAGTGATTGCGCACTTATTTGGTACAAAATTGTGCATTATTAATCACAATGGTGATTGTGCATTATCTGGTTTAAATGTATTTAAAATGCATTTCTGCATATGAAACTACAACCTAAGCCACGTTTGCTAAAATCATGAGTGAGATAAGCTCCCAACAGCTCTTACTGCAAATCAGTTGTGTGAGGCTAATGTCCCCCTTACAGATTGTAGTTTCTTGCCTCCGCGAGGGTTTCATTTCAAGCTAGGTAACATGACAATTACTGCATGGTTTGTACCCTGTATTTCTCAGCAACAAAGAAGAAACACTAAGTCACTGGGAGCCGAGGATAAGTTACATTGTGCAAGACTGGATCCCACACCTACTTTACTTCTCAAACTACATTCCTATCTGAAGTGCTGATGACTTTATTCTAGTATTTTCCCATGTTTCTTTGCTGGCTTTCGCAATATTAGGTAACCATCTAATAAAAGGAGGTGCTGCCAGGTGGAAATACACCTGCTGGCTTTGTGTGAATGACTGCCTTACCCTGCAAATAGTTCTACAGCTCAAGTCTTGAATTTTGCAGGCTGTCAAACTGTTTAAAAGCTAACACTTAAACTGAAGTAATATTCAAAGTTTGATAAAAGAGAGAATTATACATCAAGTTCAGGAAACTGGTGTGCTTTTTTTTTTGGGGGGGGAGATAGGGTTTTGTTTGTTTACTGTAGTAAAACACTTACACAATGATATCTTCACATTTCTTGGATCACGTGTTACACAGTAAGCTCCATAACCAGCCACAGAACCAAAGGTGAGACCAGCAGCTAAAGAGATTTTACTACCTGCAAGAAAGTATTGAAGTGTTATTTCTCAATGCAGTGTCTTTAATCTCAATCTTTTCGCAGTAGTTCTCTCTCTACATAGTGTTATCCAAATATTTTAAAAATAGAACTGATTTTGCTACACTGCAGTTACCTCAGCCAGTGTGAATAGAAAGGCAGTATCTCCATAACTGGGTCATTCTCTTGCATGGCATTAGGGGCAAAGTTGACTAAATTACAGGAAGATGATCAGGAGCTAGTAATACTTGCAGTTTGGGAAAAATAATCTTCGAAGCACAGACCTAAATTTGGCTGTTTTCTCTACCACACATACCTTTAGAAGCATTTTTGTAATTTCTCTACACTGTTGATTTTAACTGTTTTACAGCACTTGGGAGTCTCCAAAAATGATAGAAATATGTCAATATATATAAAGGGTAAATTGGGCCACACATGTATTCATAGGTCTTTTAGTCTGATATCAGTCCTGGACAAAGAAATGGTATTACCAACATCACAATAAAAAAATAAAACACAAATAGATCACAATGAAGATGAAAATTTGTCTTTTCAAAGAAACTTGACACATTCTTTCAGTGCCATTACAAAACTGGTTCATAAAGTCCAGAGTTTCAGTAATATTCTTAGGTTTCCAAATAGGCATTTGTCTCTGTACCACGATAAAAGTGTAGAATCAGCACAGCAGGCATTATCTAGATTAAGCTGATCCCCAAATCTTCATAAATAAAGAATCCAGACCCCCAGATGTCATTTAGCTCCCAGTCCTGTTATACTGAATATTTTTAATCAAGAGTTTGCAAGAAAACAGGAATTATTACCAGTAGAAAAAATAATATAGATTTGCCACAAGGACTGACCAATTTTTAAAGAGTGAACAGAACAAGTGAATGAGATAGTCCGTGGGTACAGCTGGGTACAAATCAGGAAGTCAGATATAAGGCCATGTCTCTAAGGGCAAAATATGTGCACGCTAACCGGGGAAAACAGCGACTCTATCACAGGAATCGGGATGGATGATGGCCACAGAGAACAAGACTGATGTACTGCTGGGGTATCTCCGCACTGTGGGAAAGATTACAGGGAGCAGCCTGGAGAGCCCGCTTGCTCGTCCTCGGTACCACTGCGACCTCTGCCGGGGGGCTCGCCTTGAGCACGGCTTGAAAGGACTGCAAAACCAACTGGAATATGGAAACTGCGCTTTATAATATGTGATAACCTAAAACCTGTCTGATTATCTTCGAGTGAAAATGCACAGCTCTAACAGTATGAGATAATTAGCCACCAAATCAGAATGTGCAAGTAAAGGGTTTTCTTTACAGTGTGTATCTGGGAATGTCAGAATCAGGCCTGGATACTTCCACAGAAAACAAGCTTTCATCAAAAAAATATCCTCTGTGCTCAACACAGGGCTGATTAAAGGAAATGAAAAGGCCCCAAATATGCTGAAGGTCAAAGATAACATGACAGCCCTTTCTGCCCTGAAAACAAACTCATCAGCTAGATTAACAGAAAAAAGTGACCATTTAAATGCTTATGTTGACCCAAGTAAATCTCATGAGACTCAGCTCATTTACAACAGTGCAGGATGGATTTCAGATGCAGTTGTATTCATCATACCAAAGTTTTCATGCCTTGCAGTATTTGTTTATTTATTTTAAGAAAGCGCAGAGGAGGAGAACCCCCAATACTCCACTCCCAAACCCTGCTGTATTTACCTTTACGAGTGTATGCTACAACACCTCCAACAGCCAGCAATGCAGCATATGCAAAACCAATCCAGTCAATAGCCATGGTCCCAACTCTGTAAAACAAAACATACTGCAACTGAAGACAAAAATCTTCCCTCCTGGTAAAAAAAAACACCAAAAACAAACCAAATCCAAAAAACATTACTTAGTGTTCCAAGTAACACTACAATCTCCTAAATCATGTTTAACTACTGTGTCAAGACACTGAAAAGGTTATAGGGTGTCTATTGGCTATTGTATTATTTTTTTCACTAACTGCTGCCCTTCCTTACAACTCAGTACGAAAGTACACTGTATTTCCAGCAGGGGAGACTGGCATTTTAGAGATGTATGTGGCATGCTTTTTCTCAGTCAAATACATATGTATGCAAGCAAAAAGCTTGACACCACCCCAAGGTTTTGTTGTGCTTGTGCCACACAGCTGAGCTGGGCATACACTACAGATACATACAGGTCTTGTCAGTGCACAGCTCAGTGCCTCGTCAGCAAGGCTGTACTTCGGGTACTTCAAGTGGAATGTGACAGGCTTAGCAACATCAAGTAAAAACAGTAATTTTCAGAGTCTACCCAAAGTTTCCAGGCAGGCCATCCTTGGGAAGCTATAGATACAGAAGATTCATCCTCTCTGTCTGCGCTCCTTCTGTTTCACCTTTAGGTTTTGATGCACTGTCCCGGTTACACTTCCATTCCCCAAAAAGCATTTCAATTCCGGTTTTAACACTGATCTCTACTTCCCCGGCTGTGCTTTGTAAAAGCACCAATGGCCAGACAGCTGCAGCAGCACTATGGCCTCTCTCCCACCAGCTGGTGGAACACACCTCATCCACCCAGATTAAGTGTGTACTTGATTAAGTGCATCCTTCTTTCTACCTGAGTGGGTGTGGTTTTGATCACAGCGTTAAAGGGGTAGCAGGAAAGAGCACACAATCATTTTACACCAATCCTGTAATATTGAAGCAAGCAACTCACAGAGAGCACCCACCCTTCCCTTAGCTGTAACCCCATCAGGAAGACGAGTGGGGTTAAGGGGGCCGTGGCACCCCTAAAACAAGGTCCGCAGTGGTAGGGGCCAGGCTGAGCCCGGCCTCTGATCCACGGGGCCTTCGTGGCCTAGCCAGACAGCCGAACGCTCCCGCTCAGGGGTAGCCTTAGGCCTTCCATCGCCCACCCCGGGCCCGCACTCTTCGCAGACCCCTCTCGCCACCTCCGCTCTGCTCAGCCCCGCGCTCGCTTATCCCGCCCGCCGCGGCGGAACCCCGTGCCGAAGCCAGGCGGCTGCCGAGGCGAGCCCTCCCCGCTACCCGCTTGCTCTCATGCCCCCCCGCCTCAGCTCAGCCCCTCCAGCCACACCACCCCGCCACCGTACCTCGTCTCGCAGCGCCGTTCTCCGACCTCCTCCAGCCCCGCCTCCCTGGCCTCCAGGCACCATTAGGCGTCGCGGTGCCGGTACCGCGCTGCTGCCGAGCCAAAGGCAACCGTTTCACTGCGCCCTCTCTGGCTTCTGGTCATCCATGAAGGAGGAAGGAGGGCGCTACCGCCATGGTGGCGGCAGGGCTTCCGCCTGCGGAGGTCATTGCGCGGGAAGAGCCGCGTTTTGTGGTGCTTGGCTGAGGCGGGAAGTCAGGAAGACGGACCCGTGTGGCCCAGGGCAGCGAGCGGGGCCTCGCACCGTCTTTGGGTCCCTCGGCGGCAGGGCCCACCTCCAGGGTTAGTGTCTTCCGCCTCCTGACGCTCCTCGCCCGGCTCGTCTGCCTGGGCTTCACAAGCATCAGGAAGATCCATGGCTTGTTTTAGCCTTTTAAACCTAAAAAACCCAGCCCTGCCATGGTGGGGGTGGAAGAACGCATGAACAAGAGTCATGTCTGTGGCGCTGCTTGTACCCGAAGGGTGCGCATCCCATGGAGACAAGGGCAGGGGCTTGGGGGTCTTCTGCCTGCACCACCCTAGAGACACCTGTGAAACTTTGAGGGTTGCCTGCATGAAGTCATGCAAACAGCCCCAGTGCTGATGTTTGTCAGGGGAAAGAGCAGGTGCAAAGCTCAAGGCTGAGATACTACACACGTAGCTGGTCTATGAAAATTCTTGACATGGTTATTTGCACACTTGTCTGGTAGCCCTGTTTGCTGAAGCTGTTCTTCTAAAAGCTATTTTTGTGCCTGTTTTGTCACCCTTGGCGGTCTTTCTTTAGTTTTCTCTCGAGCTTGTTCTTGATCAGTGCAGGACGGGTGCTTCAGCAGTAATGTGGGGGTGCCTGCTTGCAACATTCCCTACGCTTCCCTTGTTCCTACAAATAGGCTGGGTATAAACATGGCCGTAACAGGGAGGGATGCACAATGCTGTGTGGTGGGACTTGGATAGCTGCCTTCTTTGGGGATCGTTTGAAAATCCCTGCCAAAATCTTCTGTTTCCTTCAGATTTCTCTGCTTAAAGGTGTGAGAGTTTTCCGCTCCAAAGAGCTTGCTGGAAAGTAAATTAGTATTCTCATTAGGGTTAATGTATTTAATTTCCACTCCTAGCATGCTGTTTGTTTTTTTCTGTTAGCATTTAACTGCTGTGATACAAACCTTTTCCATGTGAGCTGTCCAAGTCTGCTCGGAGGAAAACAGTCTTCTCTCCTTATCTCACCGGTATCTGTGGGAAGGAAGACTGAGGTACAGCAACTTTGGAAAACAAATATAGGACACTTGAGGGCAGAACGGCTTCAAAATGTAAATGGAAAGCAGATTCATAAGCTGAAATCCAGAAATCTTGGATTTCTTTATGAAGTATTTTGGGACTTGTGGCTCTTGAAAAGCACAGTAAAATAAACAGTGGATTAAATGAAGCAAAGCCATGCAATTCTACTTGAGGGAGCTCCAAAGTGGAACAAATAGAGTGTTTTTTGGCACCTCTAGGATAATGACTAGTTGTGGTTACTGATTCAATGATGCTCCTTACCAGAGTAGACTGGATAACCCTGAAGTCTGAGCTAAATTTGAATTCATGTGATCATATGCTGCTTGTTATGTTCCCTTCCATTTTCAATTGCAAAAAAGTGTTTGGTATTGTTTTCTCTAAGCTGTTACATCAACTATTTTATGATCTGAAATGGCTACAGTACAGGTAGTAAGACCCGTGAGAGGTTTTTAACAGGAAAAGAATTAAATTAGTTTGTTGGTAGCATGATAAATCAACCCCCTCAGTCCTAACAGTGAGGTATAAACAGAGCTAGCAGCAAAGCAAGTGTTAATGTTGTTAAGAGCTTTCTAGTCTAGTTTTCCATTGTTCATAACTGCCAGTCTGAGCTGAAACTTCCCCTGTTGGGTGTCTGCTTCCAGCTGGTTTAGTTTAGCTTGTTTCGGTTTGTTTTATGATTTGTTTGCTTTGTTTTTGGAAGTTCCATTTACAACAATCAAGCCAACTATAAGGATGAATTTAGGGGAGAATGCACATTTTTGTCTATTATAAACGTTATTGTTTCACTGAACAGCCTCTAGCATCTCTCTGGTTTGGAAAAACAGCTTTTGGATTTGGCAAGTAAATGGCTTTCGTTTCAGGGATATATTTTTCCATCTTCATGAAAATGTAATGTGAAGAGAAAAAGTGTTAAAAATGTGGAGTGGAGGCTTCTTAAAATTGTACAGCCCAGTTCCCAGAAAGTTCCATCCATGTTGATGATGTGTGACCTTTTGTTAGGCACACCTGCATTCACATTGAATATATGCTATCTCTCCAGAGAATGGCTAAGCTTGTACCTTGCTTTGCTGGTGTTCTGTATAAGACAAGAAGCCTCTAAGGGGCTTGTAATGCAGCCCATCTCCCTACCCTTGAACACTTTTGCTTAGTCTACCTGTTGTTAGAGAGGTTGTTGGCAGGATGAATCACATAAAAGACCTAGTTCCTGCTGGGAGCTGTTTGTGGTTTTTGTTGGTCTTTCTGCATTAACACCAAAGGCTACTCATAGTTGTAAGCTGCAAGTAAGATTTAATGCTAACTGCTATCCTAGAACATAATGTGATACCAGAAGGGATCTTTAGAATGGAGGAGTGCCTCTGAAATACTAGACAGGAAAAAAGGTCCTGACTGGAGAAGAGCAACTAAGCACCTTGAGACAACTACAGTTCTTTCTGTGCAAAAGATTGTTCTCTTCAGCAGGTGGGACTATGGAAGAGGAGCAAAATACAGTTAAAAACTCTTATCTTTTGATGAGGATTCATGTCGATGCGGGAGTCACGGACAACGCAGGAACGATCAATGTGATCAGCGAATGCCAATTTATTACAAAGCTTTAACTCCTTATATACCATTTCTTACAGGCACTTACAGTGATTTGGCATATTATAATTGGATACATGTCTTGAAGACCCTTAGCGACTAACACATAATTGGTTAAGCACAGGTGTGAGAACTTGACCTCGAAAGTTTGCCAACAGTCCACAGTTCTCATTAACTCAGTGAATTACAGCTTCTTCTTATCTTGCTTGCTTAAGCTTCCTCGGGCCTCTCATGGCCTTGCTGTATCTTTCAGGATTATTCAGTTTATGTACCAATTACCCATTCTCCCATGAGAACACTGTCTCCACAGATTCAGAGGCTTCAGGTGTAATAATCAGATTAAACAGGGAAGAAGTCAGTTATGTTCTGGTACAAAAAGGCAACTATTAAAATAGATTCTGTAAGCTTTCATATATACACACATGTATATAAGCAATGAGAAAGACAGTAGTTTTAAAGTAATAGAACATTGTTTAAAAGGCTGAAGAGTCTGATCTACAACCTCATTGGGCTCCCATTATGGGTCATTACCCTTCAGTTCTGAGGTGATACACTTCCTTGACAATTTAGTATGAAAGCTTAGATCCAGAATCATCCCTGGCAATTCAATAAAGTGTTAAAAGGCAGAGATATTGCTCTTTATAATAACCATGAAGTAATCTCGCAAAATTTATACATTAATAAACAGCCACACAATCTAAAGCCTTTTCTATGAACTAAACATATACAGACATGGACTAAAGCCTAGAAGGGGAAAAGATGGGTTCTTGGGCATTCTTGGGATTTCACAGGAGATGGTGCTCAAATTTAACAGCTCACTGCTGCCAAAAGGGCCTTTTCATTTCCAGTTCTGCTTTCCAGTCCCTTATTTTCTGCAGTAATTGATGAGTTTTGCTCCTTCTCTCCCAAGCCTCAATTGATGTGTCAACTAAGTAGTCTGGTGAAACAACCAGGCAGAAAAATATGAATTAGTTCAGTCAGTCATTTGCCTCAGTTAAATCAGGAAGGTCTAAAAAGCATCAGGGTGCACAGAAAGAGCTGGGACTGAGTGGGTATGGCACTGACTGAAATTCTTGGTAATTTCAGTGAAATGCAACTCAGAACTATGGTTGGTCAAGTGGTATCTCAGGAATCTTCCCAGCTGCTGAATCCAACAAGCTAGTAATTCTGGAAGGCAGCAAACACTGCCCACAGAATCCTGTATGTGGGCCCTGGCACCTGACAATACTCAATTTTATTGTGAGTGATTATATCCACAATTTTAGCTTGAGGTCTCCAGCAAAATTAGGCTTTAGCTACATTTTATAGTGGAGAGATTAATCGGAGCAAAATGTAAGAATGCGATTGCAATATGCAGTGCTTTGGGAGCACTGTAACTGCCTTGGGTTTTGATCACTGTAGCAATTTGGTTTTACTTGCTGAGTTCTCAGAAGTTGATAGACTTCATCTCCTGAAGAAACGGAGGTTTTTCTTCTCAGTGTCTCAGAAATCCTTGGTCTAAATAAATCCAGATTCAGGCCACTAGCTGTGCTCTGCTTCCAAGACATCGCAAGTTTCCCATCTTTCCTAACTAATATGTGGATTTTAAAGCTGCCCAGGAAATCAGAGTGAAATCCCAAGGGATTTCAGAGGCATTTGAAGTGGCTTGTTTGTCATTGTGTAATGTTTTCAGCTAATTGAAAAAAACTCATGAAGATGAAAGTGCCTTGGAATAGAAGGATTTCTGTGTGTGTATATTCTCAGACCCTTTCCCTAATACTTATCATCCTGTGATAGACATTGGATTTCTGATAACTCTCACCACTATGTGCTTGTTACAAAGGGGTCTGGTTTTAGCTGCACACACTGAGACAAGTGTTTTCCAGACAGCAGCTCACTGAGGGGCCGGAGCACAGGATCCCTTGCCCAAATTCTGGCAGACATGCTGAGGCATACCTAAAAACTGTATATGCCTCAGAGCAGTTTCCTGAGCTGAAAAATAGTTTGAAGCCAGGAAGGTTTTAGGATGGAAGTTTATATAAGCATGCCCTATCCTTACTCTTTCCTAGACATTAGTTCATGCCCACTGTTTTTGCTTTTTCACACCTACCCATGGCCATTGACAGGCAGGAGCATGACTGGAGCATTTTTCAGGTTCATTAAGGGCAAGGTTATAGATAGGAGTATCCAAATAAAAAGCATTCTCCAGATCATTCTCATACAAAAAAAGAACGTGAAGTAAAATGCAACATACCTCCCAGAAGGAAAAGGTCTGCAAGATCCTAATTTTTATAGGTTGCACAGAGAGTGGCTCAAGCTGTGATTTTGCAATAACTTATCGCAGTTGCCAGCTTCCCAATTCTCAGTCCCTTCCTTTAAACACCTCTGGCATTCAGTGAACTTAAGCCAAGCCATGATGATAAATCATAAGAAAATTTAGCTTGCTGTTGACATTTCTGTTCTGGAACTGCAGTCTTAGAGAGCTGATCCTTGCCCATGTTTCGAAGAGGGTAGTGAAAGGCAGAGGGGCAGTACCGCTCAAGCCCATAAACCATACTCTCAGGGGGCAAATAGAAGAGAGTGAGGCTACCCACAGCATGAGGTTCAATTAGGAGAGAATGGATATGATCAGGATTGGTAAAATCAAGGCGGTGGGTAGAGTGAATGCAGTTCATTGTTCTCCAAATCCTACAGGACTAGAACTAGGGGGCACTCATTGAAACCAAAAAGTGGTTATTTTAGGAAAGATAGAAGGGAATAGGTTTGTTTTTTTTTTTTTTTTTTTTTTTTTTTATGTAGCAGGTATAGCAACCTTGTGGAATTTGCTGCCAGCAGATGTTTGGAAGCAGATGGGTCAGCAGACTGGAAAGAAGACTAAACAGTTAAATGGACTGCAAGTCCATAAAGAGATACTAAAAGAGTGAGTATGGATGTGTGCTCCCTAACATCCCCAATGCAATAATTGTGGATGCTGGAGAACAAAGGAAATGTATATGCCTGGTTTGCATATTCTTATCATTTGTTGTTATTGGAGGAAGGATACTGGGGTGAGCTGGATGTTGGTCTGACCTACCAGGACATCCGCTATGGTCTTTTCAGAGCCTTGGTTTTGTGTCCACAGGTGTGTGAGGACAAATGTGATGTTGATAGGAGTTTGTATTTTACTTTTGAGTTGTTATCTCAGGGTTCTTTTACACCAGTGAAACCTGATGCTTAAATCACTAGCACTGCTATGTACCCTATTGAGCAAATGTGCAGTTTTAGGACAATACATATAGTATTAGTACTTAGAAAGGGACCCTTAGACTAAACTATAGCCCTCATGATATTGCAGTTTTCTCCTGGGATTCTTCTGCTCTGTCTGCACGGAACTTGATGAATGCTCATGTCCTAGGAAAGATTTCATAAGCTATGATAGAATTATCCCCCAGGATATCAGTGTATTTTGGATTTATTATTTGAGAGTCTTCTGCTGGAAAACATCTAATGCAGCTGAAGGAGAGAGAGTGCCAGATTAGACAGATTATTAGGCATGAATCCCAACCCTTATTTGTATGACTATTCCTTCTGCCTTTAGATAATCACATTAACATCAGGAATATTGCTTACACAAGTACTACTGAGAAAAAGTGGCGAACAGGCTTGGGCCCTCAAAGCAGT